TTTGCCCCTGTTGGAGAGCCCCCTTGTTAACATTCCAGGACTACACCACTAGTCGTAGCCATACTGACATTGTTAGCATATATAATTTCAGCACATCAAATTGTATGCTCTTACTGCAGTAGCAGATACTTTTGGTGGGAAGGCATTCGGTTGCCACAACATGAACACCTTATGGTGCTCTAAATCTCAGTCCTTTAAATTTTACCTCAAAATTCTGGCAATTTATAGCTTATTTTATTCCCAACCTATGCTTTCATGGATGCTGTATCATCCAAAGGCTTTCAGAAATGGGAGAGTGGTTTGCACCCTACACTGCTGTCCTGTTTATTTTCTGTTAAGCCCCAAGCTGGCCAAGCAGCTTATTTATTTCAGGCATGGAGTCTAGAAACTATAGCTTGTAATCTCAATTTGAGAGGATGTGGAGGGCTTAAATTAACAGTAGGTTTGTTATAAAATTCGAGATAAAATTATTACTTTCATCGAATATTCCACTACTATAATATGGCCTTGATGTATTTGTAACAGATCCATAGCTCACATAATTTAATACTTTCATATATTTATAAAGTTACAAGAATATTATGGTATACTCAAAAGTAGAGTATTATATCCACACAAAAATTCAATGCTGGCTATTTCCAAACGGCAAACACAGGTCCAGAACAAGCCAAAATCCCAACACTGGCGATCACTAGCGCAATTGAATTGAAGTAAATATTTTGTTACATCATATCGGTAATTTACTGATATAAACAAACAAAAAGTATTTGCCATAATACAAGATACAAAAGTGTACAGATCGTACGTATAAATCCTCAATCAGATTAAATGTAAGTAATGTAACAATTAACTTGTATTTGAAATCTTGCAAATAAATGCAATTTCGACTTTGTTTACGTCGTATTCGTGAATTTTCACGTGTAATTCCCGCACTTGAACACCAATTTCCGGTATCGGTGTTATTGATCTCACGCCAGCCAATGAAATTGATAATTTCATCCCGTTTCTCCAGAGTCATGCCCAGCACCTAACCTGCAAACGGGCATACTCTGGGTACGAGATTGGGAATGAAATACAATTCATGTAAAAAATTGTTGATTTTAACGGACACGACTTCGAAAATTTTTGCAAAATTATTCAAGACAAAAATTCAAACTAAAAAGTTAAGAAAACTCTCGAAAAGTTAAGCTTCTTAACCCACTCAAATTGTAGAATAAATCCTAAAGTTTAATTATTGTGAACACGAAAATTTTTTATATTTGGCGACACAGTTTTTTTTAAAGGTGATCTACAGTTCGATCTGCGCATGTGCACAAATGAGCCCATGGGCGTACCGGAAGGAAAAAATTAGGGGGGCGGAAAGAAAATTGCCCGACTTTTCGGGATTTTGCCCGACTAGTACCAAAAAAATTTTTCCGGAAAATTTTCGGAAACGTTCGGAACAGCTTCTCATCAAGTTCGCAATACTATTACAGGTAAGGTTGACGCATGCGCAGACGTTTTTCCTCGGTGTTGTCACCACTGAGCTATACTTAATATATCTGGAGATCGTGCTCCAATACCTCGTCAGTCAAAAATGTGTGGCCAAAAACATGGCGGATTTTGGCCAAATTTACGTCATTTTGACGTCACAATCGACCTAAATTTATGGTGAACACCACTGACCTGAAATACTAACGTGAAGAAAAAAGTTATTCACACCCCCCTTTCAATTTGCTTAAAACAGAAGGAAGTAAATTCAAAATTTCGGTCGGAAATTTCTATATTGAAACGAGACATTTGCAACCATGCCAACTTTTTGTTCAATTCCTGGTTGCCAAAAATCTACTGAAAGAAAGGACCTGTCCTCACATGCGTAAGGCTCGTATAATCTCTTTTTTTTGTAATAATTTAACGCATGCTGTATTGCTGTAGTTGAATGCGTAAATTTGTGAATTCATGAAATTTATTGGCAAGCAACATACAATACAATTTATGTTAGTGTACTACAGTGCAAAAGCAGAACAAAATTTTAAAATGTTGACAAGCTTGTGGAGCTGTTGTCGAGCAAGTATTTATTTTCATGCAAGTTGATGGATGTGATGCAGTGATGAAATCCTATCGATATCCTAACAGATAAATGAGATAATGCTATGTTAAAAAATTTCAAATGAGAATTTTAACAATGTGATAAAGATACGACTAGCTTTAAATGTACAAAGCCTTTCACTCATTGTATTGTCTTTATTGTGGACTAAACCATGTGTTGTATAGTGTGGCATTGTTTATATTGTAAGTTATAGGTATCGTATTGAACAGTGTATTCACTAGACACTAAAAACAATTGTTCATTTACTTCAAAGCTTTCCAGATGAGAAGAGATTCCCTGAATTGCATAGCATATGGGTGAAGAATATAAGCAAACTTATGCCAGTGAAGTTTGTTCCTATGAAAAATAGTCGTTTGTGTTCAAAGCATTTTAGTGCTGATATCTTTGAGGAGGATTACAGCCAGAGACCAGTGTTAAAGCCATATGCTGTACCAACAATCTTTAATGATTACTTTGGTCAGCTTGGTTGTGATCTTTACAGTTTATTATCAGTACAATTAATGGTCATACTGTACATGAGGGGTAATTAACCCATTAAGCACCAGCGCTCTCCCCTTGACGAGTAAAACTGTCTGGCGTTAGACAGAGTAAAATACTAAAATAGGGTGCTTCGCCACTCAATGGGTTAAATTTATTCCTTAATTTTTCTGCTAACAACTTTAAGTTATTTGTACACATTTTGGTCTGTTTAGCTAAGCCAAGATTGCTACATTTACATTTATTTTGACCATTTGGGTTAGTGTACAAATTAGGCTAGCATAATTACTGTAGGTGCTGACCATCAAGTAGGGATTGACATGCATAGAATTGGTTGAGCAGTTTATTGAATTAAATTGGTGTTGTATGTGTTTAAAAATAAAGAATAAATTTTGTGATTTGAAATTGAATATATTATTTATTCTTATTACTAAATGTAATTATATAATTATCTTGGAAAATCTTTTTTTGAATAAAATATTTTTTTTAATAATTCTTCACTGTCGTTCCAATTGAAGTGTTCCTCAAATATTGATTCAATACATTACCTTGGGCTAACCAATTCATTTGATTAAGTTCCTCAAGATATTCATACACTTCCTAGTATAATTGTAAGCTTCCTGTTAAATGGTTTGAATGCACCAATCACCTTTGCTGTTTGTGCAACTAACCAATCATAAATAGAAAGGAAGTGACCAGAAATTATTAAATACTTGGAATTGGCTCTTTCACAGGAAGTGTATGAATATCTGGAGGAACTTGATGAAATGAGATGCTTGTGTGATGTTACTCTGAGTGTATATCCACACCGGGCAGGCTTGAAAAATATGCCTGGCCACAGTGGGATTTGAACCTACGACCTTTGGAATACTAGCCCAAATGCCAATGCTCTGTCAGCTGAGCTATGCGGTCAGGTCGGTTTGAATCCCAATGTGGCTTGGCATATTTTTCAAGCTTGCCCGGTGTGGATATGCACTCAGAGTAACATCACACAAGCATCATATTCACAAATATCATGGTTATTAGATTACAGAGTTCCGAAATATTGCATACTCGAACTGCCCTGACTGTATAGCTCAGTTGGCAGAGCATTGGGCCAGTATTCCAAGGGTTGTAGGTTCAAATCCCACTGTGGCCAGGAATATTTTTCAAGCCTGCCCAGTGTGGATATCCACTCAGAGTACGTAACATCACACAAGCATCTTATTCACCTGAGTACATGTATTACACCAACACAGCAAATATCTTGATGGAATGAATTGGTCAGCCCGAGGTAATGTATTGAATCAATATTTGAGGAACACTTAAAAATAAGGTATGAATCGCATAAAATGCAGATATCAAAATCAAACATTGTAACTCGAGCATAAAAATGTGCATATTTGTTTTAAAAAGCGATTGTTCCTTGAATGTTCAATGAAATAGTGCCATTGCCAATACAAGGAAGACCATTATAAAGAAATACACTGGACTTTCTTCATTGCCACCTGGTACTTAATACAGATATCCCATATTTTCTTGATAAATTCATACCTGAAAGCGGAATACATACAGGTGTAAAAAACTTTAATGGTGATATAAGTGCTTTATATTCCAAAGAGTTGCTTTTCCCCACAATTTACTAATAGAATAAACTGGTAATAAAATCTCTAAAAAAACCTTTGTCACTCAGGGAAATTTATAGCAGTACGGTTTTCAACAAGCTATATTTGCTTAATTATACTTGCTGGGGATTGTTATAATACTCGTGTTTTAAAGAATAATCTTGATAGTCAGTTGCAACACAAATTCACAATACAACAAGAATTGATAAATCATTTCAATGACTTACATGCTTTGTTCTTGTGGCCGTCAAGCTCCATTCATGTCTTTTTTTATTAATGGCTTTCGGTCTTTATTGATTTATACGCGCAGTTAGAATAATACTGTATTTTCAAAAGGACGAACATCAAAATACTCTCCATCGTCGATCAACTAATACAAACAACAGTCAGTACATAAAATGTCATAAATCACTGTAAAATCAGGGGGGGTTGAATTTTGTCGCCCACGGACATTCGAGCCATGGGTCAGTGGAAACTGCCATGAAAATAGGTCGCCTATGATTGTGACGTCCATAGATATAGGACGTCAAATCCGCCATGTTTTTGGCCACACACTTTCGTCGAGAGCACGATCTCCAGATATATAAGTAAGTAAGTAAGTAACAAATGGCTTTATTAGCATGACTTCACATACAAGTATTGCTAAAGCTTATTAGTTAATTATAAATAGTTACAAATGCAAAATGTTCTGTGGTAATATGACACTGTGAGTAATACAAGAAATAAAAATGAAGTTATTGATATAAAGAAAGGCATAGTTAACAAATGAATACTCTATTTACAGTATACAGTATCTGTAATTGAAGAAGTTTGGGAGTTAGTTCGATAGCCTATTGACTGTCAGCATTCCGAGCTTCAAGGCATTTAGATCTCTTCTCAAAACATAAAGAGATAAATTTTGATAATTTTATCACGGTTTCTTTATCAGTTGATTTCATTATCTCAACTGATAAACTGTGTTCGTTTAAATCTGTTTCATTGGTGGGATCACTTTCCAAGTCATTTAAAAAGTTTTCTCGGAGACTACTATAGGCTTCACAGGATGTTAGGAAGTGATGTTCCGTTTCAATTTCTCCTGCCTGGCAGACCTTGCATATTCGGTCTTCTCGCGGGATGTTTTCGTATCTACCGAGTTCAATCATTAGTTTATGGTTACTTAGTCGGAGCTGTGTTAAATGTTTTCTTTGGTTTGAATTAGTTATGGTAGTCAAATAAGTTTCAAGCTCATAGTCTTCCTTTATGCTTGTGTAGAAGGTAAGTTTGGATGAGTTTTCAAGTTTATGTCTCCAGAATCTCTGGTAGTTTTCTTTAGTATCTTTAACGCATGATTCAACTAGATTGGTTGTAAGTGAATCTAGGTCAGGGATTGCTTTATTACAATTCAAGGTTTTCACTATATCCATTGCCTTTCTATAAATAAATATTTTATTTAATTATTTTATCTAATTTAATAAATAAATCTTTTGATATGAGGAAAGCTTGTTTTGAAATGGTTGTTTCAGGAAGTGAATTAAGATTAGTGACGTACTTGATGATTCTTTTGAATACATTGATAATTAATGGATATTTTCCAAGTTCGCTTCTTGAGGCGATATTACTCGTCTTTCTGCCAACGCCTAGGTAGAGCTTACAGAATTTTAAGTGTACTTTTTCAACCGGCAGTTTATCCCAATTGATAAAATCGTTTTTGATATATACACCCCAAACTTCTGCATTGTACAGAAGAATGGGGCAAATTATGCTGTCGAAAATTTTAATAGCAGATTTGGGGTTAAGTTGGTGTAGGTTGAGCCGTCTTCTGATGCTATAGAGCGCATGCAGGGCTTTTTCACTCAGCTGTTTGATGGCCAAGGAAAAATTACCATTGTGATTAAGCTTTATGCCTAGGTAACAGTATTCCTGTACAACAGATATCTTTTCATTTCCTAGTGTGAAAATTGGCTTCGCTTTTTTTGTTTTCCTTTTTTCAAAAATCATAATTTGGGTTTTCTTTAGGTTTACCTCCATTAGCCACTTCTTACTCCAGCTATGGAGTTTATCCAAACACTTCTGGAGGCCGAATTTTGATTTAGATAGTATAATTAGATCATCTGCGTAAAGAAGACAGCTCAGTTCTGTTCCGTTTGGCAGTATAAATGGGTCCGAATTGGTGTTTTTAAATAAGGTCGTTATTTCATTTA